TAGTAGTATTTGGATTTTATAAGCCAAGGATAGGCAACTGGGGCCCTCTAGATGTGACTGAACTTTATCTTCTAGAATCCCTCACCCTTGATTATGACTACATCCACATTGTAGAAATACTCCAGTTTGACACTGCTTTCACTGCTGTGGCTCATGCTGTGGAATCCTGGGTTTTGTATTTTGTTGTGGCACCAGAGCTCTCTGACACAGAGAAGGCTAAATGTGTCACAAAACTACAAATCCCAGAATTCCATAGCATTAAGCCATGGCAATTAAAATGGTGTCAAACTGGATAATTTTTGTAGTGTGGATGCAGCCTATGTTGGCTAGGTTGTTGGGAGCTGTAGTCCAAGAACACTAAGAACATTTGGAGGACCACAGTTGTTCAGCCCTGCTATACACCTTCATTTGGATCTTGAGTGAGCACAACCTAGGAAAGGTGAACAAATTTTAAATCTTATTTATGGGTCTTTTTGATGTTTAATGCTGGCCTCATTGGGACTTCTTCTGACCAAACATGAATATTTGTTTGTGCGCTCAGTTTGTTTCAGGAAGATGTTAAAAAAGCTAACTTTGCCTAGATTACATTCAGTCTATTAAGGAATGTGATATGCTGGGTTAAGAATTAGAGCAGAAGGTTGTGTGATTGAGAAAAACATATGGTTGAAAAATGATGGCTAATTGCAGGATATGCAAAACACTGCAATCTGGCTTGTTGGAATATGAATATGATGTGTTGGATTATTTTGGAGAGGCTTTCCAGACACAGTGTTTTCATTTCTGCTGAGCTCAGAATGTGAGAAACAGAAAGATTGGCCATTCTTGGCACAAAGAGTTTAATGAGTAATTACCATGTCAGATGTGATGGTCTGTTAGTTTTTAAGCTAAAATTCTCCTTGGAGTGTTTCAACCTGTCCAGCAAGTCAGGATGATTTTTCTCTCAATTCATGCTAGAGATCTTATTACTTGAAACAAACATGCTCCTTCTGATAGAAAATCATATGCCTTTAATGCAGAAAAAGGAAACTTGATACTCTCTAGATCTTTTGGACTACAATTCCCTGAAACTCCATCCACAATGGCCAATGTAAGGAATTATTGGAGTTGTACATCCACACAGAAGGAAACTAGTGTTGCCTACCTCTGCTTTAACACAGGGGCTGTACAGATGGCCCCTAAGGGGCAGCAGGATGCTGCCCCTTTCCTTGTCGGATTGGGGCCGCAGCAACCACACACTGTGGTCCCAATCTGGGATTTCCATGGCACAAAAAGAAGCCACAAAAAGCGGCTCCTTTTTGCACTGCAGAAAGGGCACCCTACCTGTGGTGGCAGTGACTTTTCTCCACTTCTTTGGCGCAGCACGTAGAAACGCTGTGCCGAAGACACGCCCTTTTGCTGCCTGCCATGCATGATGCTGGCCTGGGGACAGAGTCGGGGCAGCCAGTGTGCAGTTGCCATGTCTCCACTCTGCCCCCTCGGCATCTCTTTATGCCGGTCTGTATAGCCCCATAGTAAGATATAAATGAATCCTGCAGCATCTTTGAGACTAGGGCTGATGCAAACGGCCCGTAAGGGGCGGCTCTGTGCCGCCCCTGGGAGCAGTGGATTGGAGCCACATCAACCACATGCTATGGCCCGATCCATCTTTTTGCTGCCCCCCCCAAAAGAGCGGGCAAATGCCACTCCTCTTTGGGGTGGCAAAAAGCTGCCCTTAGAGCCACTACCATGGCTCTTTTGCACCCTTTTGGTGCAGCATGTCTGCACGCTGCACCAAGAAGGTGCCCTGACACTGTGCACCATGAAGTCAGGCGTGTGGCATCGGGGTGGCTGACATATGGTTGCCCTGCGCCAATTCCACTCCCAGACTGGCCTAAAGTGTCAGTCTGTATCCCCCCTAACTGAGAAAGGCAATTTTGTAACATCAGCTTTCATGAGATCCAGCCCACTTCTTCAGATATAACCAATGGAAGGGTGCTTATGAGGTGGGCTGGAACCCATGTAAATTTATGGTAGAAATTTCATTTTTGCTAACTGCTAAAAAGAAATTTCTACAATAAACTTTCATGGATTCCAGTCCACTTCATGAACGTCCTTCCATTAATTGAATCTAATGGAAGCAGATTTGTATCTTTTCATGTTGAAACAGACTATCATGGCTATTTCTTTGAATACATTAACATAGTTATGTGATATATATGCACAATATCCAGCTAGTTGGTTAATTGAATAGTAACCAGTGTAAATAAAGGTGAGCTACCTTTATAGCAAAGGTAGCTCACTTATAGCAAAATGGATAAATCTGTTTGCCTCTCTTTCTCACATGTTCATTTTTTAAAAGAAGTTTTTTTCATCTTATACATACCAGCATAATGCAGTGGTTTGAGTGTTGGACTAAGATTCTGAGAGACCAGAATTCAAATCCTTGCACAGCCATGAAAATCCACTGGGTGACCATGGGTAGGTCACACACTCTTAGCCTTAGAGGAAAGCAGTCACAACCCTGGTCTGAACAAAACTTGCTAAGAACTCTGTGACAGGTTCTCTTTAGGGTGATCATAAGTGGGAAATGACTTGAAAGCACACAACATGTTTTTTTCATCCTGTTTATGAATATATTTGTGAACTTTGGTAAATCCACATCAAAATAAGCCAAATAATTTTTCACCAATCTATGCTGACCAATTCAAGCTACTCAAGCTATTTATTTAATTCATTATTTAATTTCTATGCTGCTTTTTCCCCAGAAAGGGTCCCAAGATGGCTCACAGATAAAGTACAGTTGTTTCCAGGGTGGGGAGAAACATATTGGATCCGCCTGCCTTGTATCTGCTAAAGATGTCTGCAAGAAAGTGTGGCAACCCTAGTTCCACAAAAGAAAAATGGTTGAACAGCCAGAATTCATAAAATTGAGAGCTAAATATTCAGGGTCCTCTGCCTGGATGGGCAAATCTGACATTTTTTCTTTCCCCTATATATTTTTTTCTATTAGAAAAATTCTTTGAGGAAAAATTGAGGAAAAGTTCTTTGATGGATAAATATGGAAACACATTATTTCCATGGTTTAAATAAGTTCTTAAACAAAATATAATTGAACTAAACAAAATTCTCTAATATTGTCTGATCATATATCTGTTTACACCCAGATTAGCACACATTTCTAATATTGTCTGATTGTATATTCTTATACGGCCAGATTAGAACCATCCAAAACAAGAGACAAAGTAGTAACAGACTTGAGTGACCCCAATGTTTACAGAAGTAGCTTTCTTTTTACAAAAGACCTGTTCTTCTGGCTCAGCAAGAATTGACCATATTCAGCTGCCAAAACCCAAGATCCTTGTTGTCACTCCAGTGGTGTAACCCCCAGTATTGCCAACATTATTACTTTCCATAGCATTGTGCTAGGAGATATCCTGTCTGCTAGATGGCTTTCTGGCTCAGTGGTGCAATTCACTGGAAGGGCTTTTAGAAAAATCATAACATTTTAGGGTAGTTAATATGATATAAACAATCCTTGTGATGGTTGAACCCTGAGTCAATAACTCACTAAGGATTCAAAGATATAGCTGTGTTAGTTTGTAAAATCAGTATCTAGAGAGATCTTGTAACACCTTTGAGACTAACTGAAAGAAAGAAGTTGACAGCATGAGCTTTCCTAGCATCTAAGGAAGTAGACTTAAGTCTACGAAAATTCATGCTGCCAATTTCTTTCTTTCAGTTAGTCTCAAAGGTGCTACAAGATCTCTCTACTCACTGAGGAATTATTATCCAGAACCAGGGAATGGTACTGTTATTTTGACTCTTTTAGAGACATTAGTTCACTGGACACAAGCATCTGTTCAAGGCAGCATTGATGGCCACTGTGATGGTATTGATTCAAAAGTTAAACAGTTAAGCACCTGACAACAACATTTATCCGAAAAGTCTGTTATCCCAGCCATGCTCTGTTGGGATTGACTGTTTCGTTATACAGATGTATAGTACACGTTTTGCTCCACCCTTTCAAGGAGATACGCGGGGGTATCAGAGCACATTCAACACATCATAGATGCTTATCCTCATGTGTCACCAAGCTTTCAAGAAAGACAAAACCAAGAGCTTTAACTCCTTCCCTGGGCATCATGCTCAGGGAACCTAGTCGATTTAATTGCTTCTGCCACCAAGATGAATGCCTCCCACCCTGCTTCCTGACAGTCAGCAGTGCCTCTTCATTAGGCATCAGGAGCACAAAACCTCAAGGGCATTGGTGATAACTTCGGTTGAACTAATTTTGCCAGTGATGTCTCATACAGTGAGCAGGCAGGTTATTTATTGCATGTCAATGGAACATTTAGTCATAGTGCAGCCTCAAGTGCTGTTACACTTCTCTGTGGAAGCTGCTACTATTTGTACCACCAGGTCTTTGTCTCAGGAAGGATCATTTGTTTCACAGTTCTTCCCCCAAATATTGAAATGTAAGAAAGAGTGGTGTTCTCTGCTTGTTATACTTTATACCTACAAATGTGTCCTTTGGCTGTTCTCTCAAGTCCTAAAGAGGTATTTGAAACCATGTAGCCAACTTCCAAAGATAAAAGGGGATCCCCCTTCCGTTTACTTTCCACGTTTAGGATGGCAAAATCTTGTTCATTCCTGTTTTTTACATTTCTCAGAAACTCACTAGAATTCTCATGTCAAGTTCTCTGATTCTGGGGTTGGGCCCTCCTCCTTGGCCCTCATAGTGATAGAGAGGAATCTCAGGGCAAAAGTACTGCCTTGAAAAGTGTCTGTGTCTGTGTATATAAAAAGTTGGTGCTTTTTATTTGACTGACATACTCTGTATAATTGTGGTGGATGCTTCTGGTATCATGCTTAGTGACATCACCAGCAGCTACCTCTTGTAACATCACCAGGGCCTGTCCTATGTGACATCACAAGCGCTTGTCCATAGATCTGTTTTGGGACCTGAAATTTCAGAGCTTGGGATTGTCTTGAATTGGCAACCCTATTCTCATCCTATGAGAGCCGACATGGTGTAGTGGTTTCAGCACTGGACTATGACTCTGGAGAGCAGGGTTCAAATCTCTGCTCAGTCATGGAAACCCAGTGGGTGAACTTGAGCAGGTCACAGTTTCTCAGCCTCATAGGAAGGCAAAGTCAAATCCCCTCTGAACAAATCTTGTCAAGAAAACTTCATGATAGGTTCATCTTAGGGTCACCATGAGTCAGAAACAACTTGAAAACACACACAACAACAACAACAGCATTCTCATCCTATCCCAATTTTATTCTCTATTATAAGATTCACCCCCTCCCCCCCACACCTTTTCTATATATGGGAATTCATATATTATTGTGCATCCCTCCACATACATACATATATATATATATATAGAGAGAGAGAGAGAGGTGTTTGTGTCCCTTTTTCAAGCATATATATTTTTAGTTATGGAAAATGTTCAGATGTATACATAGTTATGTGACATTTGCTCTCACCAAAACACATTGCAAGCCTTGGAAATGTATTGCTTTTTGAGGCAAGATACATCCCATATTGTTGCTAGCAGGGGCATAATGAATGTTTTCATATATAAATGCAAACCCAATTGCTTTATTTTCCATCCCTACAGACAAAGAAATAGTGAAAGACAAAAGCAGGGCTAGCATGCTTTCCTTCCTCTCACATTCAATATATACACATATCTATATTTTATAGGAGATGGGAGACATCCACCTTTTCTTCATATCTCTTTCACTTCCCTCTAACTTCTAGTTTAACAGAACAAACAATGTAATATTAGTATCTTTTGCATTGGTTTGTCCTCACATTGTTTTATGTTCTGCATTAGATTGAAAACTAGGGGAAGTTTAGAAGTGATGGAATAACTGATAGATCTAAACTATAAATCAGAGATGGGTATCATGTGTTATGTAGGAAATATAACCCTTCTTGGGCCATGCCTGAATTCTCAGAGCCACCCTTCCCAACATTTTCTGTTTCATGTTTTCAAACATTAAGAAAAAGGCCTCTAGGGGGCACAATTTTCCCCCAAAAGAAAGATCTATAAACCTTGTTTTAGCAGAAAATCAATTTTTGT